TTATAAAAGGTTATAAAGAAATTAGATAACCTAGGTGAAATAAACAAATACCTAGAAACACACAAATTACCTAAATTGACGAAAGATGAAATAGGAAACTTTAACAGACCTGGAGCAAGTAAAGAGTTTGAATGAGTAATCAAAAACCTTGGAACAAAGAAAAGCTCAGGACCCAAGGGCTTCACTGGTGAATTCTTCCAAACATTAAAGTGAAAATTACCACAGATCTTTCTCAAACTTTTCCAATAAATAAAAGAGGAAAGAATTTCCCAACTCATTCTATGAGGCCAACATTACCCTGATATCAAAGCCAGACCAAGACACCACAAGAAAAGAAAATCACAGGCCAGTATCCTTTATAAATATAGATGCAAAAGTCTTAAACAAAATGTTAGCAAAACGAATCCAATGGCATAGTAAAAGAATCATTCACCGTGACCAACTGGGATTTATCCCAAGAATACAAAGGTGGTTCAATATAATAAAATCAAAGTAATGCACAACAATAATAGAATGAAGGAAAGAAGACACATGATCATCTCAATAGAGGCAGAAAAATCAGTCCTCAAAGTCTAATACCCTTTCACAATAGAGAAAAGGAAACTACTCAGAAAACTAGGAATAGAAGGAGACTTCTTCAACATGGTAAAGAGCACTTATGAAAAATTCAGAGCTCACAACATGATCCAACTATGCCATCTGCAGACAGCATAATCCACGGTAAAAGAGTAAATGTTTTCTCCCTAAGATCAGAAACAAGATAAGGATGCCTGCTTTTACCACTATTATTCAACAGTGTTATCGGAAGTATTATCCAGAGCAATTAGACACAGAAATCAAAACACATCCACACTTGAAAGGAAGAAGTAAAACTATATTTGCAGATGACATGGTCCTGTATATTGAAAACCCCAAATAATCCAGGAGAAAATTACTAGAACTAATAAACAAATTTAGAAAAATTGAAACATACAAAATCAACACATAAAAGTCAGTTATGTTTCTGCACAACTGCAATGAACAACTGAGATTAAGAAAAATTCCATTTACAATAACATCTACAAGAATAAAATACCTGAGAATAAATTAAACCAAAGAGGTGAAAGATCTGTAGCTTCTATCATTAGGATAATTCTGTTGGCCTCGACACTTTACCCTTGTAGTTAAAAAAAAAATAATAAAGTGTCCCTAACATTATGCAATTTCTGCCTTTTACAAATTCTGTGACCACCATTGTGTCTCATTTTCCTTATCTATAAAGTGGGAGACACAGTAACACCTAACTACTGAAGAATGAAATAAGGTGCTTACTGGTATGCAGTGAAGTTTTCATATGTCAGCTCATATTTATATGCATGTGCTAATATTGCATCAAAAAAAGACTTACTTTTTTCTCTTGGTTTTACATCTAAATGCAAACGAACCTTGAGACAATGTCCAAGATTGAAGAGGTAAGATGTAAAGAATAATATTATCCCAGAAATGTACAAACCAATGGAAAATGCCATGGCTGGTTGTTCAGAGGGGAGACAAGATACCATGTAAGGAATGCAGTGCAGCAAAGTGGTTGAAAGTTTAGCTTTTGGGGATCAGAATGATGAGACACTGAGTTTCTGCTTTTCTAAGTACTGTGGCAGGAGTTTAAAAAAGTTACTTAACCTCTCTAACCCCCAGTTCCCTCATTTGAAAACTTACTGGAGCAGTAAAAAAATTCCTCTTTTGTAAGGATTAAGGTAGAAAAAATTTTAATATGCTTAGTACAGTGCATCAATATGTGGTAGATTAAAGAATATTTTGAGTTCTGCCCTGGCTAGTGTGGCTCAGTGGACTGAGTGCCGGCCTGTGAACCAAAGGGTCACCGGTTCAATTCCCAGGCAGGGCACATGCCTGGGTTGCAGGCCCGGTCCTCCCCCCACTCAGTAGAGGGCACTCAAGAGGCAACTGCACACTGATGTTAAAAAAAAAATATTTTGAGTTCCAGCAATATACTCACACTGCCATTTACTGGGAAGGATAAAAACGAGTGTATGATGGTATGAACCAGCATTCTAGACCCTTCCGAGTCAGTTGGGGAGGCCAGACAAACAGAAACTGTATAGTACAAGACAATCCTCCTGGTAAGATGACATTTCCATTTTTCCTGTTTCTTTCCCCCATCATTCATTTTCTGTATATCTTACATATAAAAATTCACAAAAGGTTTCCATCCTGAATTGGACTATCTAAAAGAAAAGATTTTATTGTAAAAAGAGCGAAAAAGCAAACATACACAATTTCTCATAACTTGCCTCTACCTTGTATACATTTTTCTTATTAGCAGAAGAAAATGGTGGTTATAGAATAGAATTTTATGGCCAAGAAAGAGACGCATTTTTGTTTTGCTTTGAGTAACCTAAAAGGGCAAACAACATCAAGCGGAGTGGGAAGTGACCGTGGAGAAGCCATCTTGGCAGATTTGGAAATAGGAGGGGAGGTACAAGACTTGAAGGCTGAAACACATTTCAGTAATATAGTGGTGCCATGATTCCATGTCTGCGAACATTTCTTTAAATAAACACATTTATCAGAAAAGTTAGTTATGCTAAAAAGAAAAACAGCATAACACATCTCTTTGACTAAAACTCTTTACTCCTTCTTTCACCAAAAGTCCTTGTCTGGGGATTTAAATGAGCTGTTCACCCCAAGTTTCCTTTCCTTGTTTTGGGAACCTCACGTGGACTTGCAGAGTTTAAAGACACGGTGCTCACATGCCACCAGAGCTGCGTTTTACCACGAACTTTAGAGGGAGGGCCTAAGCCAAACTCCTCCTCGTTCACATCCTACAGGCTTGTTGGGTACAGAGAGCCAATGGCTGTAGCTTGCACCAGGTTGCTGAGCCTTTTTTGCGTGGAGACAGGCAAACTTACACCAGGGAAAGCAAAGGTGGCTTATGGTACATTCTTCTCTCAGAAAACATCTGGGGGAAACTACACGAGGGTGATGAACACATTCCCAGCAAAACGTGAAACTGAAAACCATCAGAGAGTGATTTATCTATTGTCAAAGAGCCAAGAATCTGTGGCCACACCCCCCAACACACCTGATCTCATCTGATCCCTGAAGCTAAGCAGAGTCTGGCTTGGTTAGTGGTTGAATGGAAGCCAAAGGGCAAGGGAGAAGACAGCTAGTTCCTGGGTCGCTGGAGAAAAAATAGGCTTTTTGTTAGAAGCACATCTAGCGTTAATAACCCTTGCCTCACATTATATTTACTGAGGCAACAATCTGGACATTAATTAACATCTCTGTGTTTTCTTCTTAAAATGAGCTAATTTTCTTTGTTTTCATATTTCTGTACATCATTTTTCATTGGGGAGGGGGGTCAAAAAATCATAGGGTAAATTCAGAGGTATGGAGAGAACCAAACTAGACCAATCTACTGATTTCAAGGGTGTTATGAGAAAGGAGGCGAATGTTCCTAAGCCCATCCACAGTTCAAACTTCAGCTCTATTTAAATTCATGACCTAGGCTACGTTATCACCATGGGTGCCCACTGTCAACACCCACAGTGTTGCTGAGCCTATAGTCAAAGAAATCCACCCACTCAAAAGGCTATTTTGATAGTGACTATTGACAATGAATTCAGTTGAATAGTCTTCAGCTTATATTTTCCAAATCCAAAAGTCCTCAGGGTAAGTTATCACTGCTTAACTGTCATTATTTGAAATACCAGTGGGAATATTATCACTGTAAGCCTCTGGGTAAAATGTATTTTTTGCAATCTCACCATCATTTTCATTTTGTTTACATCTCTAGTCATTTGCACAGATGTTGATGAAGCTGTATTTTTGCTTCAATGTCTATTGCAATATTCTTATTGCATTCTGCAGGTCCTCCAGTAAACGTTACTTGCAATATTTTTATCAACAGTTTTGGATCAGTCACAGAAACCACCATGGTAAGTGCTATAATGCCGCTGGCAAGAGAAAAACTTGACTTGATCGTGCCATGAACACAACCTGTCCAATTTTCTATTTATTGTTCAACTTGCAGGGCCTCCTGTAAATGTTACCTGCAACATATTTATCAACAGCTTTGGGTCAATAGCAGAAACTACAATGGTGAGTGGGAGTGAGCATTGAAGCCATGGTGTGAAGGATGGGATATGGGGTTAAAGAGCACCGCTGTACATTTGCGGGGCATTTACTGAGTGCCAATTTCCAAGTCCACCCACCTCTAGAGGGCAATTGTTTATACTTGAGCACTTTAGAAAGTCATTAGTCAGGTGTTCGTTACTTACAATTCAATAATCTTTTATCCACCTTTTATCCATCATGCTTGATGTTTGGTTAGATTTAGGTAAAATGATCAGTAATAAGCATGGTGTACAGTGAAAGGTGTTTACATATTTGCATCTCCGATGTTGCAGAAATATAAGTTTCAAACTTTGGGAAATGTTTTTTATAGCCAGTCTTTTTCATATAATGTAGGTTTTCATATACATAGTCAAGACTCATATATGCAACATTTAAGATACTGTATTTTGCAGTGCATAATGCACACTTTTTTGTCTGAAAATTTGAGGGAAGAATAAAGAGGCACATTATATATGGGTAATACTAATGCCATAGCTTTATAAATGGTTTTAATTCTTTTATTGATGCTTATGCATTAAAAGAGTAACGCTAGAAAACAATAATGATATTCGAATGCAAAACAATACCCTGGAATACAATAATCAGTTTGGTTTCTAAATATAAATAAATAAATAATTGAATTAAAAAATTAAAGTGAAAGATTTTCTTTTCTGAAAGTTGGGGACAAAAACATGGATGCGTACTATACACGGCAAAATACAGTACTATGCCAAGGGGCTGACTTCACACTAAACACACACAGGATTTTGTCGGCAATAGAAAGTAACCCCAAGTCCATAGCAATTACATCACATGCATCGCTTCTTTACAAAAACATAACATAAACATTAAACTATTAAAAGCTCATCATGATGTACAGGGGAACACGTTTCACGTGCATGAAAAGGATTTCAGACATTATAAAACTCAACAGATGTCATGGCGATGGTGCTGCCTTGACACAGCCTGTTCGATCAGGGTCCTTGCAGTCCTCAGCTAGAGTGTGGACGTTGCATTTTGGGTGAAATCTTTTCTTTGTCCCCATACAATTTCTTTTCTGCCCTAAGTCAATTGGCTGCCTTTAATTTTCATGACTATTAACCTATACAGCCATCTTATTGGATGAGATCAAAATAAAATACGGTTGAGCTTGACCAAGTACTAGGATGGCCAATGGCCTAGAAACACCCAAGGAATGAAACAATGAGCATCATGTCACCGAGATGTAAAACATAGTGTTCCCCTGTTTTTAGTTAGTTTTTCTTTCTTTATTTTTGTTAGGCTTTTAATTTGATTCCCAAACAGTTCATCGGGGAACAGCATGGAGTTCCCTGTTTTTTATTAATTTTCTCCTTTAGGCTACTAGAATCATGTCTCACAAATTACTGTACTTTTTGGTATCCTTGATTCCAGAAAGAAATCATTTCTCTCTCACCACTTTTTTCCATTGTCAAAATTAGGTAAAATGCAACCACACTACCCATTGTAGTATTACTCTGGCACAGCACTGTCCAGAAATGAGACTTCTGGGGCTTTGACAGGATGTAGAATATTCATCATTTTCCCCAAATAAGATAGGCTTGATAGGGTTTTTTACTGACTCATAAGAAAGATGGACATGAAAGAATAATGAAACTCTGAGGTTGGCACTCAGTTTCTGCCCCTCCTCTCTTGGTTTTATCCTGAGAAATCTTCCAAGAGCCCAAATCACTGTCACCAGCTTTACACGATGGCATTCAATGATAATATTTGCACGACCTGATGCTGATTGCATTAATTAGTCTCCTAAGTTGCTTTGATTAAATTTCCTCATTGCATTTTCCCCTCAATCAGAAATGGAAATGTGCACCTTTTTGATGCTCATTAATGCAAAAAAAAAAAGCTTAATATTGAAGGAGATGAAAACGGAAGCTGGGGATGTCCTTCTTTTCCAGTGTCTTTAACAGCTACTGAAGGTGCTTAATATATGGGCTGCTTCGGTGCTTCCTGGTCACTAAGGTGCTCTGTGCCGTGTTTCCTGGGAGGAAATTTGGAAATCATCACTCAAGTGTAATGTCCATGGCCAGTCTCTTCTGCTGTATGAGACACATTGAATTGCAGGGTCAGAAGAGTGATGTGTATCGTGGTTCTACTTCTTAGCTCTTGGTATAATGACAAACTTCATTTGGTGTTTTCAAAGTTCCTTTATTCTCTCCGATATGGATTTGTGTGAAGCTAAAGAATAGGTTTTGAAACTCTGTCGTGCCTAAATCAAAGAATAAATCCTTGTACCACATAGGGTAGGGACCGGCAAATTTTTTTCTATAAAAGGCCATTCTGTACATATTTAAGGCTTTGAGGGCCAGACAGTCTGTCACAGCTCAGTTCTGCCCTCTTGGCAAGAAAACAGTCATAAACAATGCTAAGCAAAGAGGTGTGGCTGTACTCCAAAAACATTGTAGTTACAAAAACAGGCTGTATTCAAATTTCGCTCACAGGTCATAGGTTGCCAACCCGGGACCTAAGGCCATCCATATTTAAATATTCCGATGCTCAGAAGGATGTAAGAACTGCTAAACCTTGAAAGGGTCTCAACTTCCCACATCCCTCAGGCCCTGCTCTAACTGATGTCTCTACGGAGTATCCTGACAGCCTGAGCTTCCTTTAGTAAAAGCCTGAATTCTACCACCCATGAATTTACATGCACTTTCACAAAATTCAGCTAAATAGATGGTCAAAAAAGCAAAACAGAACCAGATTCTTGACTGAACTGTCTTTAGTTGCAATGAGAACATCAGTCCTGCAGCTTTCAAGCACTGTAATGGATGTGGTCACTGAGGACTTCGATTAGGGCAATTTGGGGATCATAGTTTTCCTTTCTCTCAATTTCCTGTAATCAATTTTCCCAAGAACGTCTCAGAAATTGGAGTTTCCAAACATGATTTTCCTTTCTTCCCATCGGCCACTCTCTCCTTACGACCCCCCAGAGCACTACTGACAGATTAGGCTTAGGTGTTTATTTGTTTCTAAATAAGAGGCAATGATTATCTGTTTCAAGAACTCAGCATGACTTTCTCTTGGTGCTATCCAGTCTGCCCCTCTTATGTTTGATGAAATCCCATGCAATCATTGTTGTTACTTGCTGCCCACAAAGTACAGGCTTGCTTACAGACCCAATGCGGCCTCGAGCTCACTCATTTGGTATGTTAGAGTTAGAGCTGTGTGCTCACAGGACAATATATTTGTGCTACTCTAAGGAACATTTGTAAGGATCACTATGATGACACACATTATTCCAAAATACGTGCTTTTGTTCATTAACACCACAGGGATCTGTTGATGGTCATGGCTAATTGACCTCCATTCAGAGTATTCAGTGGAACAATTTTTTTTTTGCGTGTGTGGTTCCAAAAGACTAGTAAGGGATGCATAATAAGACAGGTTAAGCCCTGGCTGGCATAGCTCAGTGGATTGAGCGCGGGCTGGGAACCAAAGTGTCGCAGGTTCGATTCCCAGCCAGGGTGCATGCCTGGGTTGCAGGCCATAACCCCCAGCAACCACACATTGATGTTTCTCTCTCTCTCTATCTCACTCCCTTCCCTCTCTAAAAATAAATAAAATAAATAAAATCTAAAAAAAGTTTTAAAATAAAAAAAAAGAAGAAAAAATGAGACAGGTTAAATATTGTTTCTGGAATGCCAGTTTACCATTTCCTTTTCTTTCTTTCCCCCTTTTCTTGAGCTGCTGATGGCAAGTGAAATTACATGACGGGGAGTGCATTTGCAACCCCCTCTTTCCCGATTTAAAGGCATAGTTTGGGAATAGCAGTCATGTCAGTAAAGGTCCAGAGTATCTGCATGCTACCTGCATGCCACTCTGTCCAGGGATAGGCCGCCCAAAAAATGGAGAAGAGGTAGTCTCCTCAAAGCTTCCTAATGCTGCCTGCAAGGTTGTGGGTACATAAGAGTGTACTTTGGACCTGTGGGTGTTGGAACACCACCCAGGCAGCAGGATCAGATCCTGGCACCCTCCTCATTGAACAGATTTGAAGAAGGGGGCAGCAAGATCTGAAAGTGTGCAAAATGTGTCCATTCAGCAAGCATCTTCAGAACCAGACCTCAGCTCCTCAAAACTCTGCCCCAGAGGATAAATTCCCCATGCTCTGCTGGTTACTGCTGCAGGGTACAGAGTTGTTTTATCTCTGATCTGAAATCACATTCCCAAGGAACTGGATACAAGATAGACAGCTCCTTAGAAGAACACACACTGTGCTGTAACTGCTGAAATGACACTATGGACTCCCTTTCATTCTACAGCTGCATAAGCAGTTCACATGGAGATGCTAACTTATCAGGAATAGCAGGTAGTTGCAATTCTTATTTCTGATTTTGAAAAGAAGAACGAACAATCTACCACATGCCTGGCATTTTGTTAAACTGAGATATAAGGTGACCTTAGCCTCTAAATTAACAACACGATGTTAAAGCCTGAATTCATTATAAAGTAACTGCTGTGCCATAATTTCAAATTCAAGGCTAAGTTCTTATAGCAAAGCTGGTGCGCACTCCAGATGATGCAAAGTGTACTGCTGTGCAGTCAGAGGTTAAAGCCAAAGGGACACATAGGCACTGAGGGGAGTCAACAAAGCATACCCTAGTCTTTGATGACATTATTACATGACTGGGTTAAAATGTGTGCACATGAAACTAATAAGAGTAACAGTGAGGCATAATAAGAGTATGAATAAGGCAGAGTGGCAATCTCCACCTACAAATGCCAGACTAAATATAATATTACAATTCAGTTTAAGGAAACTATCTTTGTGACATGGGCATCCTATTAGAAGTTACCGGAATAAGTGAAACTTTAGAAATTCTCAATTTTGTACAAAATAATAGTATGGAATGAAGATGCTTGTATTGCCTGTGTTATGAATACAATAAAGATTATATGACTTACACACAGCTTTTGAAAAAATAAGATGTTTATATATATTTATATATACATACATAAATATTTTTTACTTTGAATGTTTGCATTACCTACCCCAATACACAGATAGTCAATCATAAGAAAACCAATTTTAATACAAGAAAATATTTGAAATAGAATCTGTCTCTGGAGAGAGATGATAGTATAAAAGAAAATTCCGTCTTCATTTAAGCATCTCTCTCAATATTTACTTCCGCCTTAATATCTCATTAACCCTAGAAGCAAAATTAAGACAATGAGAGGCTACAGAATAATGTAACTACCTCCTGTGGTTTGGAATGCCATGAGAGAATAAACCTATTTGTAAACAAGCAGAGATGAGGCACAGATAAATCACACATGTCATTTTCTACCCTACACTGCAAATGATAGCAAACTGGAGAAATTACAGAGGCACAGCCACAAGAAGTCTTGTCTTTGGCTATCAACTTCTCCAGACCCTTGGGTGTCTGTTTCTATCCCCACAGGTTTGAAGGGTTGTTTTTATTTGAGAATAGTGTGTGTCATCATAAACAAAATTATGGACAATTTAATTCCTATATATTACAAACAACAAACACTTCCAAAAGATCTAATAAAGGCCTTGCTCTGTATCATTCCTGGAATTGTGGCATAAAATATATTTTCCCCTCTTAGTTTCCCATTTATCCTTGTTTAAAAATAGGGGGATTCATTTATTTCAAATTAACTGTTAGACATTTAATGGTTCTACTGTGAAATGATAGATTCGATGATCGTTCTCAAGGTCTAATACTGAGAGAATCTATTGTATTATTTACTCTATGTATAAAATTCAAAACACGAAAACCAGGAAACACTGGAGAATACTTGTGGGAAAGACTTCAAGAGTATGTACATTAGCTGGGAAAATTTATATTGAGATATTTTTAAAAGGTTGACTGTTTTCATATTGTATGTCACTAATGTGATCCTCTCTAGAGCCTGTCAATATACATCTTTAAATCATTCTGAAGTTCAAGGAAGGATTGCAATGACTTCTCTTGGTGATTTTGCTGCCCAACACTCTCCAGCCGGCTTCTTATGGCCTCTCCCATGCTGTGATTACTTCCTGGGGGCACCTTGTTGGCCTCCTCACAGCCTAAAATATCTAACCCATTCCCTTCTGTTATTTCCAGCTGTCATTATGTTCCTGTACTTAGAGTTTCTCTATCTCCAGAATTGGTTACTGGTTCTCACTCTAAGGGAAATAAAGGGAGTAGCCACCCAACAGTGGAGAAGCTGCATTCCCCCGGCCCCGCAACAAACCTTAAAAAACTCTCACAGTTGGTGTACCGGGTGCATGCTTACATTGAAGTATTATGTTTTCACCAGCCCTGTTTTTGATTTCCCACAAATCACACCTTCTACTCTTTACTCACGTATAACTCCAAAGCTTCCAGTAACTTTTGTTGCCAAGGAAACAGACCTGGAAATCTCTTTCAAGCTACAACTTTCTGGTCCCTTTGGACAACTCCAAAGTACTCGAGGAAAGCGCTGAGGATTTGCCATTCCCTTGGCTCACGCACTGTCGGGGGTATGCACACGCTGAACACATAGGATGGGACGGGAGAAGGGCTGGGCCCACAACAGCACCCTCTTCAGTCTGACAACTTGCTGTGCAAGGCCTGGTGTCATCTCCAGTAAAAGTCAGCTGATGACATTTCCCAAGTCAGAAAGTTCTTAGGTTGTACAATTGTTAAGGATATTTCTAAAAGCTATTTCAGCCTTTCCTAATGAGCTGGGTTTGAGGACTGATTTTTAGAAGTTAGTAACTATTTGATTATCAGCATTCTTTAGGCCCCCTCCATTGGGCACTCTTTCCAAAAACTGCCACCTTCAAAATATTCTATCAGCCTGACCATCAGGGTGGCTGTATGTGAAAGGAAATCATGGGAATTTGGATAGTTTAGTAATATATAGAAGGAACTGGATTGAACCTCTTTTCCATGTATGCCAATCTTTATAATGTAGTCATTGTTTTTTCTTTTGGCCCTAAGGGTAGTTAAGCAAAATTGACCATCCTGAGGTGGTGTCCATTTTACCTGCTACAGTAACTAACCATCTCAGTTTGGCTTGGAATGGAGTGGGTTCCCTGAAGGTGGGATTTGGGGGCTAAAACCAGGAAGTTGTCCAGCAAACTAGGGCAAGTTGGTCACCATTAGAGGAATGTCAAGAATTACAAAAAAAGTCCAGGTGCCAAAGATATGGAAAAAGAGCAAATACGGGTAAAAGGGTAAAGGAAAAAGAGGAAGAAGGAATGAGTATATGTGGCCCTAAATGGTCACAAGTGGCAGGAGCGCATAACCATCAGCTCTAAGCCATAGCCCCACTGGACTAGGAAATACTGTTGAAACCTCTGTTGGGGTCCACTCTGTCAAGCAAAGCAACAGGTTTTGTGACCCTAAAGACCTTTGAGTAGAAATGCCCGGGAGAGTAGTCACTGCCCCAAGCTGACTCATTGGCACAGAAGGAAATCCCCAGACCACGTGAGAATAATAGGGTGTACCCGAGGCTCCCACAGGAAGGACTGTCTTTGTCAGAAGGTGCTCAGATTAGGAGAACGTGAAAAAAAATCTGTTTTGATGAAGCATCAAGTTGACTGCTGTAGATACAACCCATTCAGAGAAGTGATCAAATACTTAAGAATTTCAAAAGTAAGTAGCTGTGAGGGAATTATCTTGTCAACATGAAGCATTTTAATATTTATGTTTATGAATTTAAAAATATTACCCCATTATGCAAGAGTTTTATAATAAGATTTCCACTGCTAAAAGTACAAAATGGGGTTGCTTCTGCGCAGAGAATCCGAGCAGAATGAGGAAAGAGATCATGTCATTTTTAATTTGGAAAATGAATCACCTTTATTTGACAATCTGTCATCACAGACTGACTTCTGTACTCATCATTACTTTTCTATAGCAAAATCTGCTTCAGTTGGTATTATTTCCTCCCAGAATGAATAGTTTAAACATAAAAATTCAACCAAATCTGCCTGGTTCAGTTGAGTCTTCTTTTTTTTCCTCCCCTCTGTTCCTACTCCTAATAGAACTGAGCGGTTCATTTTTGACCGAGGTATGCACAGACTGGTTTACTCAGACACCACCGAATCGGGGAATGGTGAAGGGGAAATGTAAGCAGATCTCCTATGCCAGAATGGGTGATAAGTAACTCTTGTGCATGACATTTCTGTAGGATTACCGAGTGAACATTTTTCTGAGACAACAGTGGAATGACTCACGGTTGGCATATAGCGAGTATCCTGACGATTCCCTGGACTTAGACCCATCGATGCTGGACTCCATTTGGAAACCAGATTTGTTCTTTGCCAATGAGAAGGGTGCCAACTTCCATGATGTCACCACCGACAACAAACTGCTTCGGATTTCAAAAAATGGCAAAGTGCTTTACAGTATCAGGTAAGCTTCCTTTGGCTGCACCTGTTCGCTTCTCCATCTTTCTCCTGGACTAGAAATGCCTAATTCTGCATGGCAAGATTTTATCTGAGTATTTGGCTTTTGTGGTCTTTCGTTTAGCACTTGAATCTTAAAACTGGTGAGGGTGCCAGAGGTTCCCATGGCCTCAGAAGTATGATTCTCTACATGGAGGGGTTATCAGCGGGGAGAGGAAGGGGGGGATGGGGGAAAAAGGTATAGGGAATAAGGAGCATAAATGGTAGGTACAAAATAGACAGGGGGAGGTTAAGAATAGTATGGGAAATGGAGAAGCCAAAGAACTTGTATGTATAACCCATGGACATGAACTAAGGGGAGAGATGCTAGACGGTGGGAAGATGCAGGGTGGAAGGGAATAAATGGGAGGGAAAGAATGGGACAACCGAAATAGCATAATCAATAAAATGTACTTAAAATATATAATTTAGTAGGATGGTGGAGGGGTGATGGTATCATGTAAATACCTGTGCAGATGTGTTTATGATTGATTCAATAAAGTAGAGGCCCCTTAGTTCAATGATGACTGAACATAATGTACAAAGTCTCATTTCAAAGAATTCTGCCATTCCATAACATTTAACACCCACCCACCCCACCACACACGCACACAGAAATTCAACTACTCAGCATGCTAACTGACAGCATACTTTCCACTCACACTTTGCATGCAAAACTTGTTCTAATCCCAGCTCTGTTTCTAACTAAACATGTGAACTTGATCTCTGAACTTTTCTTAGGCTTTAGTTTGGGATAGACAACTCCTAAGATTAATCTTTGTTTTTATATTCAAATGTAGTCTCCAGAATCTTTATCACTCCAGGCTCAAAATAATCTCCTTTTTCTGAAATCTAGTAACAGTTTCTCTGTGAAGCTATAAAGCTTTTATTCCTTCCTACATCATATTTTGGCTCTTTCTGTATATAAGATTATGGATTTTTGGAAGAACACAAATCTAAAATCAAATCCAAACCTCACCACTTACTAAGTAACAGAACTTACAACCCTCAGTTACCTTAACTGTAAAATGGGAAACACCATATATATCTCTGACTATTCATGTGAGAATGGATGATGTACAGCAAATGCTTCTTTTCTGTAAAGGGCCAGATAGTAAGTATTTTATTTTTTAAAGATTTTATTTATTTATTTTTAGAGGGAGAGAGAAAGAAACATCAATGTGTGGTTGCCTCTCATGTGCCCCCCACTTGGGACCTGGCCCACAACCCAGGCATGTGCCCTGACTGAGAATCAAACCAGCAACCCTTTGGTTCACAGGCTGGCACTCAGTCTATTGAGCCACATCAGCCAGGGCCAGATAGTAAGTATTTTAGCTTTAAAAGTCAGGCTACCTCAGCTCTGTCACAACTACTCAAATGTGCCATTGTAGCACAAAAACAGCCATGGACAATACTCAACAATTGGGTGTGGCTACATTTCAATAAAACTTTATGTATAAAAACAGGCAGTGAACTAGATGTGACCCTTTGGCCATAGGTTGCCAACCCGCGAAACACAGTACATAAAAATGCTTCACAGTACATGGCACAGAGGATGTAATCAATACATAAAATAATGGCTGTCTGTATTTTAAAGTTAACATTCTTTCTAATTAGTAGGCTCTTTAAAGTCAAAATATTTGGATTTTGCATCTTTCGTAACCCCTTCCAAAGGCCCTAGGGCACAGGTGGCAAGCACAAAGCCTGCAGGCTGAATCCGGCCCTCCATCTGGTTTTATCCTGCCCTCCACCTTATTTCCACCTGGCAGCAGTGCCAAGCTCTCGTTTAACAGCTAAGGGTAGTTACATGTATACAGCCCTAAAATTACATTCCGCCCTTTGAAGGCAGCCACAAGGCTGATGGAGCCCCCGGTGAAAATGAATTTGACACCCCTGTGGCCTAGGCAACGTCTTGTGTATTAGATATCTCTAGTACATTGAATAAATATTGACATTTTAAAGCTCCTTTATAAAATTCTTCCTTTCTCTCCAATATTATTACCCCAAAACACTGGACAGCTAGTGTCTTTGCAAATTTCCCCGGTTTACAGAGTCACCACCATTAAAACCTAGTAACTTCACAGCTCGCTGAAGGCTGGCAGCCCCGCTGTTTTATGGAACACAAGAGGCTGCCGATCTGCAAAAAGCAGCCAAGTCACTGCTTGCACAAAGAACCAGGAAATTCCCTTATTTTATTTTTGAGAAATGTTGCCTTTATTTTTATCAAAGTTCTTAAGGAAACAAAATATTGCACGCAGCGATGTGTTTGATGTAAGATGCGGTACTGGGCACAACCCAAGTTGACGTGACCTGATGAAATGGGACATATGTGGAACGTGGTACAGGGAAGGAGAGTTATAAAAAGCAGCGCAGGGCATCAGCTGCTCCAGCTAACCCTCTGGGCTTTGAGTGGCATTTGCTGTAGTATATACCTGGCATCTTGCACTGCTGAAGTGAAATAAAACCAGTTTATTTTCCCTTGTTCCATGAAGGCCTTTCTATACTACAACCATGAAGAATATAATGTTCTCCACACTCACATCCAGAGACAGGTCTATCTCAGGTTCCAACTGCAGCATATTACAGGCTCTGAAACTCTCTTAACAATAGCTTTGGATTAAGTGGAGTTTGTCCTGTAGCAGGACGAGCTGGCTTTCCCTTCACTGTTGGTATTGCATGAAATTAGAGGGAGAGATCCTTGTGGCAGGAGAACTGGGCATGGCATCTTAGGGAAACACAGCCCTTGGCAGAGTTGAACTGCAGGAACCTGATCATTTGCCCTGAAGGGTTTTCAGCAAGCCAGACACTGTGTTGGGCCTAGAGATCCAGAGTTGAGTAAGATGTGGGACCTGTTCTGGAAGAGCTCCAGTCTGCCACAGCAGGCAGACATCAGATAAATTAACTAACAGGAATAAATAGAAAACAAAGCAGAGAAAAATGACTGTGACTTTGCAAATGAACTCTGTTACTCAAGTGCTGTTAGAACTTGGGTGTTGGCACCCACATTCCTATTTACTTGAGTCACTGGACTCAATATAGCTAGAGGGTATGGAGTGATTAGTGCTAATATATGCCAAGGTGCATATGCCCAGGTCTAACACAAGTTTAAGGCCAAGAGGGCTATAGTTTCTGGTATGTGAAAGGTCAGCACCCTGGACAGTCCCTGCTGACACTCCATTAGGAAGGACCTTCCCTCTCCTCTCAGGTTTACAATGCATATACCCTTGGGATAGGAAATCCACTGGCCTAAATTCATACTAAGCAGTACAGAGCTGATACGAAAACTTCCTTCTGATTGTACTGTTGATGCCCATGAAGAATAGTGAGAACTAGCACGTTATATGCCTAAGAAGAGAAATCCAATATGATGAAGAGAGTTAAGAAAGATACAAGGAAGGGATACGACAGAAGTACCAAATATAAACTCATGAGTTGCCTCCATCCTACACATTTAAATAACTTCTTAAACACTGGTCCACATTAAAAATATTCTGTGGTGATATTTTATACTTGCATAATCCTGAAACCTAAAGCAAATGGATAAGAGCATTCCATCCAGAAACAACTCTGTGCTTTCTTAGGTTTGTAGGAGCAGAGGTAGAATTAACTCTGCTTGGAAACCAAAGCCCAAGGGTTTGATGGCCAAACACAACAGTCCATTGACTTCATAACAAGCAAGAGCACACTTTATATAGGCAGGAGTTTAAAAAAAGAGGGGACAGTTGACCAGAACCCTACGAGAGTCCTACAGATTCTATCCACTCCTCTTCTGGGTTCTCCTTTAACATTCACTCCCTTATGTTTGATCTTACACTCTGTTTTACAGTCCTTGTTGACCCATCCCATTAAGTATTGATCATCCCTGACCAAAGTGTAAACAAGGTCACACATCTTTTTATGCTCTCCTAAAAGACAAATTCTAAATTCATGTTAGTTAAAAAGGTCTGAGTCCATAGTGGAATAATGAGGTGAGCCTTGAATCTTGTATGTATCATTGCTCAAGCAATATTTGTTGAATTGAAAACAATAAATTGAAGAAGCCAGGGCATCATGGTGTGTGGTATGCAATATGAAAGAAAAAAAAAAGAAGGGGAGTATTTTTGGAAAGAAGCAGCGTGTCTCACATGTCCCCAGTGTCTTTGCTAATATTTGTGTTTCCTTTACTTCCCATTGCTTCTGAGAATTTTCAGGCAGACTTCTGACTTTTATAGATGCATAAGATTTTTTAATGTGAAGGTTTTACCTTGCAAAATATCTAATACCTTTGTTTTACCGATGAGGAAGTGACTTCTTTTTTGGAAATGAAGAGAGCTAAATTAAAGGGAACCTATCCATAGAAAAGCTAGGACAAGAAGCAAAGTTCCTGATTTCTACTTCAGTGCTGTCATCTCCTACCCCACATCAGTCCTTTATTGGCTTCAACTCGAGTCTTCAGCTCAAATCCAAAGACACAAACAGATACAGTTCCAAAGACACGTCATTTTGGAATCAACTTTTTGGGGCTTAGTTTTTAAAGGGTTATTGGAGAAAGAAGGTAAGATTTAGGATGAGAACATAGAGTATCTTCAAATTTTGCACATGTTTGAAAAGACTGTTTGAATTCAAAGTGCAAAAATTGATTTTCTTTTTTACTTTACTTTATTTTTAATATATTTTATTGATTATGCTATTAATGTCCCATTACCCCTCCTTCATTCCCCTCCACCCTGCACACCCTCTCCCACCCACATTCCCCCACTTTAGTTCATGTCCATGTGTCATAAGTTCTTTAGCTTCTACATTTCCCATACTATTCTTGCCCTCCCCCTGTCTATTTTCTACCTACCGTCTATGCTACTTATTCTCTGTACCTTTTCTCCCTCTCTCCTCCTCCCCTTCCCGTGTTGCTAACCCTCCATGTGATCTCCATTTCTGTGGTTCTGTTCCTGTTCTACTTGTTTGTTTAGTTTGTTTTTGTTTTTGTTTTAG